GGGTGAAATGAGGACCCCGACTGTGGGGGCAATATGCTGACTCTGTAAACCTCTTAGAGGGCTGAAAGCCCTATGAAGCGGTATGTAAGTCTAACTGCTATTGCTAAAATTTGCTATGATAAGCAGAGTGCTAGGCTGGGATCAGGGAAATCCAACTTCAAAGCAACGTTTGGCCATAGAGAATGCTGGGTGGCAGTCATCCCATTTTCTCACCCTAAACAATCTCACCAGATTGTTGTCAGGATAAAATTAGGTGAGCTTTCCCTTCCCACCAACTTCATCCTTACAGCAAATGGCTGGAACAATTCTCAAGCCATGACAAAGTTTCATAGCCTAGCCTTTTACAGTTCTTTGAGGCAGTTTGAAGAAGCAAAAAAAAAAATGATATTGAGAAAATATCTCCCTTTCCATTTGTAATGTTGTAATTTCCAAGGTTAAAAAGTGACAACTAATTATTATACTGCATTCATGGTCAGTTATTAAGCAATCCCTCAGTACTAGGATAAGTGAGGGGGAAGATGCAATAATGAGAACTTGATAGCATAGCGAGAACTGGTCAATGAAACATTGTTTGAAAGTTGTAAGTTCAAAATACAAACAGCTGCTGTCGTTTCTTTATTTTGCACAGGGCAATGCTTTGTACAAAGGCACAAGTGGTGTGACAGGTGCTTTGGGAACCTACACTCTTCATTTTTTGATTTAGTTATGTGAAACAGCAAAGTGATATATTCTTATATGCTGAGAATTTGAGGGTGTTTCTAGAGGATAAAATGAATTAATGAAAGCGACAGCGAAAGTGAGTTACTTAGGGCATGAGCTCAGTAGAAATGTGTATGGGAGCTAAATGGTAAATTTTTAGGGGGAGAAACATTCATTCTGCTACTTTAATTTGAGACAGATTAAGGCACCAGTCCTCTGGTCCAAGGATGTATCTCAGGGAAGTAGAATAAAACAAAAATCTCTCCCAAAGGACAAAATAAGAATTCTACCTCATGGCTTTAGGACAGTGGTGGGATTCAAATAATTTAACAACTGGTTCTCTGCCCTAATGACCAGCTGAGTAGGCGTGGCTCGATGGACATGTGACTGGGTGGTCAAGGCGAACTCAATGTCACTCACGTCAATGAGTGCTTTATCTTAGCTGATGCAATGTAATAAGGGTTAAATGGAGGGGCAGTGTCTATAAGCAGGGCAAGAAAGATTAGGCTAGAAACAACACCAGAATGTTTCCTCCCTGCCTTCCTTACAGGATTAGCCAAGTAAAATGGGGAAAAAATTTCTTCCAACAACCGGTTCTCTGAACTGCTTAGAAAGTTAACAACCAGTTCTCCTGAATAGGTGCGGGCTGAATCCTACCACTGCTTTAGGGCTTCAATATAAACCCCCCCCCCCAATGCAATCACAACTTCATCCTCCTTATCCCCACAGAAATATTGTTATCTATCATTAGGATGTGTGGGAAGTAGAAAACAAGGCAGATTGAATGTGTGGATCTTCTCAATCATCCAGTTGTTTTCAAGGTCCTTTTCCAAAAGCTAAATGGACTGGGATTTTTTTTTCCCTTGGAGGAAGAAGAAAAACTTCTTTTGCTTTTCATCCCCAAAACTTCAGTTCTGCAGGGCTATGAAGTAATCAGAACTAAACCTTACTTGCCCCCCTCCCATTTCCCAGAACCAATGAAGCCTCTTATATATTGCTGGATGAGAACAGGGACGAGATTAAAAAATATTAGCAACTGATTCTCTGCCCGGTTGCTGGGTGAGCATGGCCATGGTGGGACTACCCTACTCGGCCTACTGCACCATGGCAGGGCGTGTTTTTGCCCTCTCCAGGCTCCAGAGGCTTTTTTTGAGTCTCCAGGAGGGTGAAAATGGCCTCCCCCAGGCTCCTGATACCCTCCAGAGGCTGGAAATGAGCCTGTTTCCAGAATTCCGGGAGACCTGTTTTTTGCTCTCCCAGAGTCCCTGCACGGGCTCTACACTTACCTGGCATGATGAACGAGCTGTGTGGAGACTCCTGGGTGCGTTGGGGTGGGCAGGACCAGCCGGTCCTTGCAACAACCAGTTTGGTGAACCACATGCAAAATAACATCCGGTTTGCCTGAACCGGTGTGAATCGGCTGAATCTCACCCCTGGATGAGAAGTGAAAAGTGTTCTCCGTCCTTCTTAAGGAACAAGCAGCCCAGTTACCTGTTGAAAAAAAGCACCTTTGTGACAAGGCAGGTTGAGGAGTGCCACAGGCAGATCATGAGAAGCTTTCGGAGTGTTGAATTGTGAGTCTCTGCAGACTCCCAATAAGCTCATCATGACACAAATTTTAAACCAGTGTTGGTATAGACCTAAGTGAATTTCTTCTTGTCCTTCACAACATTAGAGATCACTAAAATGGGGAAATAAGATCTCCTTGAAGTTGGGGAAAACATATTCAGTTTCATGTTGTAGACAACCTGGAGGGAAACCAATTTTCTTCCACTTTCACAAGTTATATCTGAGTTAGAAAAATTTCAGGATGTTCCTGACATATTTCTGTTTTGAATTCCACTAGAATTATCACAAATATTTTCTATTTGTTTAATTCTCTGTCATTATTGCATCTGCATCCATGAGCCAAATTAGCATTACAATATAATATTGTTACTGATTCCCAAACTTTTTCTTCAAAAAGATTGCTAGACTGAGATCTGAGGGCCTGTAGATAAGTCAGATATTGGGCATGTAGCATCTAAGGTGAATCTCATAAATGTGATATGTTATACCCCACAATTAAAGAGCCAAGCTGGCGCAGTGGGTAGAGTGCAGTACTGCAGGCTACTTCAGCTGACTGTTAACTGCAGTTCGGCGGTTCAAATCTCACC